CATAAAGCAAACAACAATAATTCAATGAGTATAAATGATCAAACTAAAATATACAACCATGCATGGGTTTTATAACAGTTCCGGCAACACTGGAGAGGAATCCTTGTATAATGAATTCTTAAGATGTCCTTCATCAATTAGAGGTTATAGCCAAATTGTTTCAGGATCCTGAATTTGAATTTGAATTGGTTAATTTACTCAGAATAGTCCAATGTCTTTGTTGATGTTTCTCAAGGCTCGGCCATGCCCATATAGATAAATAAACAAACAAACAAGACAAACACAGTCAAACACACGGTCCATACACGTCTCTGTGCCCTCACACACCAAGCAAATGTCAGACTGAAGCGAAAGTGTGAAATACTTAACCTAACGCTAAATCAGTGGAAAGAAAAAATAGGACCTAAAGCGTGTAATCAAATTAATCCAACAAAACTTCCCATAACTGCTGTTCTAAACTCACGTTGCGATGTGATCTCTCCAATTAGAAATTAGGACAATCACTTTACTATCAATTCAACCAAAAAGTTTCAGGTTGTCCCTTACCTAAACTACTTGTCTTTCTTACCTTCTTTATTTTATTTTTTTAAGAACCTCACTTAGCACAAGAAATCCTAAGAATTAATTCACTACTTAAGGTTAATTCATAAATAACGAAACTGCAGTTACAGGTTTGTTTGTGCATAGTATTGGTAATCAGCAGTTTTTTTTCCTTATCTCCTCATCTAGAAGTGTTTCTGTGCTACTCCTCCATCTATAACACAAGTTAGTATCATCCTTAAAGCATCTGAAATTAAGCTGCATTGCTAAATCAATAACGTGATTTGTGCTAAGAAATACTCCCCTATCCTCTTCCTTTTTCCAGTGGCGCTGAATGACAGATTTTAGATCAATTTAACGTTTTATCACTATTACGTTTCATTTAATTAATTTTGCTTTTTCTCTCTTATTTTTGTCTATTTATTTATTTATGTTATTTACTTATTTATCATGCCATCCTGTGATGATAATCTTAAAGACTTTTTAGCCAATTGTCGTCAAAACGGCCATTTAAAAATATTATGTTAAAGATTTCACAAGATAAAAATGTGAACATAATTTTTATCGAATGAGGGGTACAATTATTCAATATTTTTGTGACATTATTTTCTACGTTAGAACTTACAGCTGATAGAAAAATATAGGATCAGCTAGGTTTGGCTAGATCTGTTGGGAAACTCAACGGAGCTGAAACAACACTGTTGTCTCGGATGAGATGTTCCATGAATCATTTAGTCAGCTGGATGCCAAATTATTCATTTAATGTTTATTTTTATGCAATGAATGGAATGGGATGGAACGTTACTATAAACTATCCGGAAATTTGCGCATGTTTGCTCGAAGGAGAGAACTGTTGAAGCCTAAAGCGTTCTCCTAGACTTATAAATAGACACCGTTTCCTTAACCAATGAGAATAAGTGATGACGCTGATGTATTCCGTTTTGAAAAGAAAATAAGGCTTTACTGCATGTCCGCTGCAGCTGAGAATCCTAGGACAATAAAGATTATATTGACGTCCAATGGTGAGTTGGGCTGAAATCCAGGTTACTAATCCTATTATTTATTTATTTATTGATATTATTATTATCTTTTTTTAGGCTAACTTTCTCAGTTAACTATGTTCTACAGTAGTTTAGTAAATTTTCCACAGTTCTGACATTTCATCAATTCAACTGGTTGTTGCCAAAAAGCCTTGTTCATTACCTGACTGCAGCAAGCAATCTTTTACTGGGTGTAACCATAGGAAACAGTCTCTTTTGAGCCTCTCTTTGTAAGTCCAGGATGACCACCGTCATTGATTGAAGTTCACATGTTAGCACACATGCTCCCCCTTTTGTACTTTGTTTCATCAGCAGCAGGGCAAATAAGTTTCTGCCTCTTTGTCCATCTTGTAGTGCTCCCCGTCTTGATGTTATAAGTCACAGTTTTTGGTGAGGGCTTCCAGGTTCTCTTTGTATAGAAGTCAGAGCCAAACATTCTTTGCAGCTGGTTGTGACAGGCCCACCCAGTAAAGTTCATGCCTCCACAATGCACAGCAAATGTTTTCCTTAAATATGTTGATTGAGTTGAAAGGACAGAACTTTCTCTTTTACAAATCAAAATCAACGAAGGTTTCTAATATTTAGTCAACTTTATTGACTCAAAGGTAAATCTAGACTATTTCCTATGCACAATTTTTCTGACTCGTCAAATCGGTTCTACACAGGTTTTAAACTTTAGGCACAATCTATCCCAAATGCAAGATCCCTCCTTTCATTTTTTATTTATCTATTTTATTTTGGGAAAATAACTACCAGTTTTTAACTCAAAACAGCCTAGTACAGTTTCTAGCCAGGTTACAGGAAATAATACTTAGTTTATCTGTTTTTTTCATTATTCAGCGTCCCAAAATCCAGCCATTAACGTTAATGGTTCTTAAAGTTGAGGTAAGACAATTATTGGATTTTGTTTTATAGCAAGATTTAACAAATATTTTATTTCCTGACTGATTATTTGTTAATTTTATGGTTTTTCATAAAGATGATCCTGAGAGGTTCAGAGCTGCTTTTCGCAGCGCCCTGTGCTATTTTTAGACTGCGGGACTCCTGTGTGTAAAAGTGGGTGGAGTCAGGTCCCCAGGCTGAAACTCCAGTCATTCTCACTAGATCTGTCCGAGAGGAAGGATCTCCTGAATACCCTAACCAGAAGCCTTAAGGTACGTCCAAAACACCGAAAAATATCCTTTCTAAAGTCACAAATTGCTTAAAACTGCATGTTACACAGGAAAACTGTGAGAGCGAGGGAGTCCAGCTGACTCCACGGCCCATAATCAGACAAAATACTTCCTTTATAACCACGACCATACAACTTTTGTATTTTAAAGGATTTTCTTGTCCTCACACTAACGATAAATTCTTTTTCTATTGTTTCCACAGTCTCTCGAACTAAATAACCGTCTAGTAAAAACATGGACCGCACCCTGTTTCTCAAGCAGCTGCTCCCTCTATTAAAAACTGAGTCATTCAGAAGATCCAGCGAAAGCAGCTCATGCAAGAAGACACACATTCACTCATTCACAAGGCACAGAGACATTCTTTGTTTGTCACAGTCTCTTTTTATTATTATTATTATTTTTTTAAGGTAAGTCAGTTCGTCACTTATTTATTCTCTCTCTCTATATATATAATATTTTAAGCACAGAATTTATTTAACACTGCACTGGTTATTTTCAGAATTTAATGCTTACTATGCTTTTAAGCAGGCCTTATGTAACATTAGAGCAAATCCAATTGCAATTTTTTTTTTTTTTGAGAGCGCTCTGAGGAATAGTTTATATATTTATTTTCTGCAGATCTGTTTTGATTTTACTGTTTAGCAGCTATATGACTATATTTCTAAAATAAAGCTGTCATTTACATCCTTACTTGCGTTTCTTGGTGGTTTTTTCCCTTTTTTCATCTCCAGGTCACTTAACCCCCAGATCGGGGTCACTCACATGCTGCCCCACACACAAATGATTATCACGCTTCTACACTACATATGTATATATATGTATACACATATACATATGTTACTTTAAAAACCTTTTATTTATTAACTGGTGGTGTTCTGTTCAAAGACTGATCAGAACAGGGTTGCAGAATTTGAATTTTGCGTAGCTCCAAACATTAATTTTAGCACTGCAGTGTAATTTACATATACGAGTTGCAACTTTTTAAAGCTCTTATTTATCTTATTTATTTATTTTCTGGTACCGCATCAGGCCTTCACACACACACCCAGCGCTGTACACTCACACACACACACACACGGAGCTCCCAAAACTCTGCTCTGTATTCTGCACTCTCCTAGTGCTGCACTTTCAATCCAGAGCCGTAAGCAGCCTCTTGCTGCGCCTCACACACACAGGCTGAACTCAGCTTACACACACAGTGAAGCTTGTCTACAGCTGTGCCTTTTTTCTCTCGATTCTGCAGCCTTCACTTCCCAAATCTTTCTCCAGTTACCTCTACTGTTAACATCTACCCCTTTTTTCTTCATCGCCTCTTCCGCTGACTTTCTCAATAAAACCTTATTTCTCGTGGCTTCAACTGGGCTGCTTGTCATATTTAAACATTGCTCATTTTATGCAAAAACAGCCAAAAGCACGCAGAAATAGCCAAAAGCACTGCTCTCTTCACACAGAAGCAGTCAAAACATTTATCATCTTATGCAAAAACAGTTACCTCAGAACATTTTTCTCATCTCATGCAAAAGGTCCTTGACCTTAAAAATCCAGGGAGCTCTCTTTAGCCTCCCCTTCCCTTAACATAAAAACCAGGTCCTTGACCTTTAAATCCAGGGAGCTCTCTTTAGCCTCCCCTTCCCTTAACACAAAAACCAGGTCCTCGACCTGTGGACTTTTAGGGTTCCCACACCTATGGATCCAGCCAAGCTTTATATAACCTCGTTATATATTCTATCCGCTCGTCAGCAAATAGTGTGGTCAGCCACGACCTGGAAATGGAACTTTAGGGCTCCTCAGCCCTGGGTCACCATCCCTTCATCTGTACTATTTCCTTTTCTCATTTACTCATTAAACCATTACAAAAAATCCTCATTTCATTTCACCACTAAACCATTACAAAAAAAATCTCTTATTCTCCTGCACTTGTCTCCACTTTCTTCTCCAACTATTATTTTAGGACCACAGCTACTATGATTCTGGACACAAATGCTTTGGATAAATCCAATGAGCAGATTTTAGATAATAGGCTCTGCTCACCTTGTTTTCCACCGCGGTGTTCTGTGCCAAGATCGTTCGCTGGGTCAGTAGGTCGAATCATCCTCCAAAAACTCCTTTTTCTTCAAAAAGAAAAAATCCTGTTCGTGACGCCAAATTTGTTGGTCTCTCTTCCGTTAGACCAAGCACGGGTACGGAGTAGATGGAGTTAAACACCTTTTAAGTTGACAGAACGAGGAGACAAATGATCAGAAGTCCATTCACTGTTTCGCCGCTCATGAGGGGGAGAGTCTCTGCAGCAAGTCCCGCGACCTGCTCTTGCCAGATGCTTCGGACAGACTCTCGCCGTTCTGCTGAAACGGCTGATTTTTATTGAAGATTACAGGAATGTTACATACGCAGTTTGCCATGTACATACGTCAATGATTATGACAGGTGAAAATAACAGCCTTGTTAGCGGACAGTCTAGAACATTTATCCTTGAAAGTACCAGGAACATCGTGATACATTTATGACAGGAGAAGATACATTCACGGTGCGGAGAGGCACTGAGTGTAGATGGAATGTGCACACTCCTTTCTCTGGTGCAGGAAAAGATACACAGCTATTAATCTTTGTGTGGAGGCCTTGAGTATCTGAGCGAGTTTCCATAGCATAGAATAACAAAATGAGCTTTTAAGGTAAATATATATATATTGCCTTGTTAGGCAGGATCTAACATGTCACAAGAACTTGTAATTAGAAGATGAGCAGAAACATCTCCCTTTTGGAGTTCCTGCAGCTGTTCTAAGAGCTTGTGCAGGAGAGAAACACAGAGAGGCCTTTAACAGTATAACATGATCCCATAATAAAAAGAGTAGCATGTAAGAATGAATAATAAAAGAGCTTATATGAGAGTTACATATATTTTCATTAAGTACAACATTTTAGTACTCTTTCCACCTCTGAATTTTGCACAGTATTTTAATTTTTCCAGCTTCACATAATTGTGTGTTTTTTAGCAGCATTTCTGTTGCTGCTAATCTAGTAATGGTTAAATAAAATCCTTTAAAATGACACTAGAAGAGGCACAACTTGGGTCAGACCCAAACACAGAAGAGCTGAAGCTGGGTGGTAAACACACACAGGTAGTTCTAATAACACCTGAGCTCCATGACGTCTGAGACTGATGCATCAGAGTTACAGCGGGACTAAAGACATGATCAGAAACAGGTTACAGCTGGATAATCTAGGAAGGTAGAAGATCAGGATGTCTGAGCGGTGAACAGGTGAGCGGACCCTCGAAACGTCCCGCTGTCACACTAAGAGCACGGGTCTGCAGCCGTAGATATTCATCACGTCTTCCTCGTTCTTCACGGGCCGTGATGCTCTTGGATGAAAACATCTGCCTCTTTAGCTCCTGATCAGCTGATGACAGCTTCAACACACCGCGCTGCTTAACGCACGCATTTCCTTACCAGTAACAGAAACGATCGTTTTGTTAAAAGAAGACGTAATTAATTAGTTTGCTCGTTACAGAAAGAAATATTTTTTTAGTAGCGCGGTTATTTTAAACGGCGTTATTCCCATCACTGCTCTGTTGTGTCTACAGCAGTTAGTGACTGAGACAGTGAGGGTCTCCGCCCGCCCGGCCAATCATCATCGTGTTTGTAAGTGCGTTACCGACACCTCTCTCTCCCTGGCTGCAGCTGAAGTGTGGCGGTCAGAAAGCCTCACACTGTTGCTCAACGTTCGACAAGCACATAGTAACGCACAACCTTCCGTCCCCAGTAACGGTAACGGCGTTGCAACAGTGGGAAAAGTAATTAATTAGATTATTCCGTTACCTAAAAAAGAGCGCCGTTAGTAACGCCGTTATTTTAAACGGCGTTACTCCCAACACTGGGTATCACCCACAGAACTATTATAACTTAAGACAAAAATATGTCCCTTTTAAATGGACATTCAATAAGGTCTACCTTACTCAATGTATGGCATACATTGATGTTGGAACTCTTCTAGAAATCATAAATGGAAATCATGCTTGCGATTTCTAAATCACGATTTTAATCGTACATTTGATCACGATCATGTATTTCCAAAATTGTAACAAAGATTTAATCTTTTCATGCTGTGGCGGTTTTACCGTTAGGCATAGGTCGGCGGCCGCCTGGGGCCCCTCATGTTGCGGAGCCCCCTAGCCCTGACTGCTGGCATCCCTCTGTTAATGCCACAATGGACTATTCCTTTAAGACGCAAATGCACAAACAGGAAGTGATTGGTAGTCATTCCAGTCCAATCCAGTTGGTGGCAGTAATGCACCAAATTGTTGTTTGCCAAGTGCCGTAAGACCACAGATTAGAAAAAGAAGAGAAAACAGAACAAGAAGAAGAGAGGCGGGAGCGTTCGTAACAAACTCAAAGCAATAGTCAAAACATTAAGCATGCCATGGAGTTATCCTAGTGGCTCCAATAAGAGAAAGAAGCAGCTTACTTTAAAAAAGCTTTTTTCTTCACTTCCATTTTTCTATGTAAACATCAAAAGGAAGCAGAAAGGAAAGACAATGGAAAATGTTTAAAGGGAGGAAAACATAGACCAAAATGGAAAATAGAAGAAAAACAAAATAAAGGCAAAAGCACAGGAGCACTGACAGGAAGAAGAAAGCAGAGCAAATACTGAAGGCACTCAAAGGGATAGAAAGACAGGAAAAAAGAGGAAGACTAATAAAAAGTGAAAATAACTCACGTCAGAAGAGGGGAGAGTTTCGCAAATCCAGTTAAAGATGTCGAAAATTTTGTATAAGGGGGCCCCAATATCTGTGTTCACCTTGGGCCCCCAAATTGCTAAATCCGCCACTGGATGTGAGCAGGATCTGTGCACTTATTTATGGGCCATTCCCATCTGTACCAGGTCGGCCCGGGCCGGGTAGCGTAGGTTGTTTACACATCTGGGTGGCCTGGTATTTTTCCGGGCCAACCAAGGCTCATTCTCAGCCCTCTTCTCGAGGGGGTCTGCTTCAGGCCGACCAGGGCCAACACACCCACTGCTGACAGCAAATTCACACCTTCCATTAGAGCAAGCCTCTGATTGGTGGGTAGAATCAGCCCACATGGGCTTAAGGCAAGGATGTGTGGAATCAACCGGGCCAGGCTGGGGCCGACTGGGGCTACCCGGCCTGGGCCGACCCGGTACAGATGGGAATGGCCCATTAGATGCTACCTGATCCGTTAACATCGGCTTGTTTCTGGGCCGAGGCGCTGCTCGAAAAAAAGGATTCGGTTCCACCCACGATGGAAAACAACAACCTACAAAAAGGTTTCAGCAGAGTTGAGCAACACTTAGCAAAGTGAGCTAAAATGAACATTTTAGTTATTGGTGTTCAATAAGTAAAAGACAAAGCTGTGGTTGAGACATTTTGTAAAAGCACTTTGAATAACACTTTGTTTGAAAAGCGCTTTAGAAATAAAATTTGATTGATTGATTGATTGATTGATTGAGTTCAGATGCACATCAGAATTATTTCAAAGACAAGATCTAAAAGGTAATCAAAACAAATGGTCTAAAAATGTTCAATAAGATAAAAAATAATGCTTTTTTTCCCTGAATTTGAAAACTCGTATCAGTAGATGGAAGAAACCTTTCATCTCAGTTATCTTCAGCTCACAGATGATGTCCGACAACAGCAACATCCCCTATAGTATTTCTGAACCCATATTTGCCACCATTTGAAGCGCAAACATGCCCCCACACATTTGAAAGCCTTATTTTCTTCCAGCCCTCATATGACCGGTGTGCGAGCAGCTGTGGTAAACATGCCACCACGCGTTTCCGTGCACATATTGGAATGTTTATGTGGCACGTTAACAAAAAGACGATTTATTCGTAAAACAAACGTTTTGGGAGAGACATGCTGATATTGCACCTCTTTTGACAGCATCCGACACAATGTGATCACAGAGTGATTAAAGCTAAAGTGCACAATAAAATCCGTGCATGCATTTGTGAATGAGTCGCTGAAATATACAATAACCCCAGCAGCCTGGTAACACACAATCAGCCGTCGTATGTGCTGAATTATTAATGTTTCCGTTTTAAGCGCCAGGAGCAACTGCTCATGACAAGCCAGTTATTTTTTATGGGTGCATATTTTTTCACCTGTCTTGGGCCTTTCTCAGTCAGTGGCAGACAGACGGAGGAGAAATAGTTCCAAGTGAGTGCTCATTCACCCCAACATATGCAACGCTGGAGGATGCCACTAAATATGTCGGTGATGTTCACACCAAGCCTGTTTAAACGGCTTGACAAGGAATCCCATAGTTCCTAATGTTCTGGGAGACATTCAGCTGGAAAAGAATATATTTTATTATTTATTAATTATATAGTTCCTTCCAGAGGGCCACCGCTGTGCACCCACAGAGCCATTCTTGACATAATGTAGGGCGTTGGTGGCGATAATTCATCCTTTTTCCGTGTTTATTCCAGTGCTCAGGGCTTTGTTTGTTCCTTGTGTTGGTTTTTTCCTTACTGATATTTTATCATTTGTTTTTGTTTTTTTAATCTCTTTTTGCACTTACGCTCCTGTGATCTATTTCCTCAATCAGCCCAGCTACTTCCACTCACCAGTCACCCTTCCAACAGTTACAGTCCTTTGTTTCTTGGCTTATTTGTCAGATCTTCTTCTTTTCTCGGTGTTTAGTTAAAACGGAACAATTGGAGGTGATAGTGCCCCCAGAAAGCACCAGTGAAATGGCCACCGATTGGTGATGAAAAACACCTGGGCAAAGATGGTGGGTGTTCTGTTGTCAGTCTAAAGCCTGATTTATGCTTCTTCGTCTGCGTCAGTGCGGAGACACGCAACGCCACTATCCGTCCTTGCGTAGGGCACGCAAGTACGTACGGAGTCGAGCCCACTTTTTTAAACATCCGTCGAACGAGACGGATTATGCAAGCTTGTGATTGGTCAGGACGCCGCTGTTGTTTACAGCGCCGCCATTGCAAAGAGAACCGAGGATAACTAGCGGCAAACACGGAGAAGCTTGAAGAATACCTCGTGAAAAAACTCTAAAAATATGAACGTTTAATTCTCCCGTGACTGGAGGAGTGAAAAGATGCGCAGCAAGCGTTTTATTAGTGGACGGAAATGACAGGAAACGTGGGTTTAGAGGTGGGCAGCGCTTGAAGAGGTGGGAGAATGAGAGACAAATATGTCCGTGTTAAAAGTCTCTTATATACACAAAAAACACAATATAAACACACTATCTTGGACCGATACATGACAGGATACCACAGAACAGCGCTACGCCCTCTGTTGTCCTGCCGGGCAACTGCTTTGCAACATTCTCCAGGAGACGGAGAAGTATGAGAGCAAAACACTTCCGTCAATCCGTGCGTGTCTGTCCCTTGCGGAGCTGACGGAGAAGCATGAACCAGGCTTAACAAGGAACAACAACAACCAAGCAAGCTCTACTCATGAGTTGACTCTAAAGATGCCAATGGTTGGTGAATATTACTTTGTTTATGATGTTACGTTGTTTAGGTTGACCATTAAAGTCATGTTGCTTATTAGTTTGATTAAACACAGGTGTTTTCAAGCATGTAGGCATTTGATTTGTCATTGTCATTGATACACTTGATGCTTTCATTTCCCTTTTTTAAAATGAATTGAAACCTTGATTCGTTGATTGAATTTAAGCGATTCAGTCATGCTTTAATTTATTCATTTGCACTTTTAGTGTAGGAAGATTTAGTTTAGAAAGTTCTGTTTATTGTATTTTGTATAAAATGATGTGACGTCTAACACTTGTCTCTGTACTTTGAAGGTTATCAGCCTAATGTCTTAACTGCATTAATCACTTAACTGGAATAATAAAGATTGATGGAAAGTGAAGGAGTTGTCCCAAAGTGTCCCTTTGGAGTGGAAACGAGAGTGGAACTTAACACTTGGATTGTTCACAGTTTTTTAATGTCAAAGGGACCTTTTCTGAAGTTAAAAGAGTAATAGGATCGATACAAAGCATGTTTATGAAGTTATTTGCATTAAATCCCTCCCACATAAAGAGATTTCAACAGTTATATTCTTGACAGTTTCAGTATCTTTCAGAAAGCTCGAGCTAGCCATGTCCACCCAAGGCCTGCTCAGGCGACCTCTGATATCCAGGAGGGACTCCTCAAAGCATTCACTCTTATTTGTTATACTTTCTCCCGTCCAGTCTATACTTTGGGACCTCAAGAACGCCTCAGTGTGACAACGCCTAGCTCATCGATTCATCACCCCCAATTAAAGTCACAGAAGTTAAACATCCCCCCCCCCAAAAAACCAAAGTCTTTCCTTCTCCCTGAAACACACGGGACCTTCCAAGGCATTCCCTGACCAGAGAGGATAAACAACCCCTCTAGGAAGGCCTGCAGCTACCCCTGGGTTTTTTCCCAGTAGGACACGTACTTTGTTAGGCACTTTGTCCCAGGAATCATTGCACCTAATTTCCATTATTTTCTGCACGCAGCCTTCCAATTTGCATCACTTTCCATCCCTGGAGCTTGTGGGTCCATGTGAGTCTACCTTCCTGACTTTCCAGCCAATGGCAAGAAGCCACTCACTAGCTCATAGCTCCAGAAGGGAACCTCGTTTTCTTGTTCCGGGAGTTCCATGTAAAGCTTGACATGGTCCAGCTTCACCAAGGTCTTCCTGTAGTTCCCAGTTCAAAAAATGCACAAGTGAGATTCAGAAAAACCCTCCATTTTTATCTCTGGGTCCTGACACCTTTGGAAGAAAAAGGTACAAATTACAATTACTACTTATTCCTTATCTCTTGCTTTTACTCCTAGACTTTGAAACCAACCAAAAAGCAGACTTCTTCTTCTTGTTGTCCTTTTTATTGATGGTCAGCAAACTTAAATAGCTAACTGCTAGTCTTTAAATGAGCTACAGGCTCAGTAACAACTATTGTAGTTAGAGAGCACCTGCTAGTGGACCCACCCAAACCACTAAACTGTTTCTGGTCAGCAGAGGCTACAGAGTGCTGTCCAGTGTGAAGCGGCTCAAGAACCACTGAAACCAGTTTGATAGCATCAACTTAAAATGTTAAAACTCTTTTGTTGCTTTAAATGTGGAAAAATGTATGATTTCAATAAAAATACTATTAACATTACTTTCTTAGGAGTTTTAATTTATTTTAGATTATATCAGTGTTTAATATTTTCTATCAATAAAAAAATTAAACTGAAAAGAAACTTCAGGCACTAGTTGGTGGAAATTTTTTTTTAAACATTTTATTTTCACATTTCAGCTTTAAACATTTTTATGTAGTTGGAAGTGCTGACGGAGAAACGTGGATTTTTATTTGTTTATTTGTCCATCCATCCATCCATCCACCCACCCACCCACCCACCCATCCATCCATCCATCCATCCATCCATCCATCCATCCATCCATTTTCATCCGGAGTCGGGTCGCGGGGGCAGAAGCCTAAGTCGAGAGGCCCAGACTTCCCTCTCCCCAGCCACTTGGATCAGCTCCTCCGGGGGAATCCCAAGGCGTTCCCTGGCCAGGTGAGAGACGTAGTCCCTCCACCGTGTCCTGGGTCTACCTTTAGGTCTCCTCCCGGTTGGCCGTTCCCGGAAAACCTCACCAGGGAGGCGTCCAGGAGGCATCCTGACCAGATGCCCGAGCCACCTCAACTGGCTCCTCGATGTGGAGGAGCAGCGGGTCTACTCCGAGCCCCTCCCGTTCCTTGTTTATTTTTGATTTCATTTATTTTCTGAGTGTCACTAAGCTGCAGCCATAAGCAAAAGAACAGAGGAAGTATATGACAAGATCTTTTGGGCTTAAGCTTGCTGATTCGGCAGGAAACAGCAGCTGTGTGCAATCAGACTTTCACCTTTCTGCTGCAGCATCTGTTAACAAATCATGCCAGAAAATAAATTTAACTGGATCTTTACATGATGATGTGGATAGATTAGTTTCATCTCTCTCTGCTCCCTTCCAACACCGATCAGTGATAAACTGTATGTTTTTGTTCTGCATCGACTCCTGCTGGTAGCCTGTTAATGGTGGAGCGGTTCAATGATAACAGACCTGAGCTGGAGTTTCTGCTTATCTTTGTTTTCTTCCTCCCCACAGGGGCTGTTGTTAGCGACGCTGGCTGCTGGAGTTTTCTCCTTAGTTCACATCTTATGCAGCGTAAAGCGTTCTTACTCTCCATGCTAGAATCAATGCTCTGAACGCAGTTGTTTGCAGTGAAATTATCATGACCATTAGGCATAAAACGCTATGAGCAAAAAATACCTGATGTTTCCTCTGAGAAGTGAAATGTTTAAAGGGAACTGATCTTGTAAGATTCTGCTTGCAGCTTTCTTATGTTCAGCAGAACTGACTGAGTTTATAATTGCATCTATGGTCACTTGTTGGAAATCTCAAGGTTTTTTTTTCACCCTTGAAAAATGTTTTTTTTTTTTTTTCAAAAACTAAAACAGTTACAGATCCCACTAGTTGGCAGCTGCCTGACATTTTCAATTTGGAGAAATAAAATTTACATCTGACTGGACTGATGAGCTAGCTTCTCCACCACTGAGCAGAACTCCTCCAGGCTTGAGCTATTTGCGGAGATGAAACACTTTTTGGGGCGACGACGGCACAGGAGTTAAGCGCTCAACCCGTACTCAGAAGGTTTCAGGTTCAAGTGCCGCTCAGTCTGTTGCTGTTGTGTCCTTGGGCAAGACACTTAACCCCCCTTGCCTGCTGGTGGTGGTCGGAGGGACCGGTGGCACCTGTGCTCGGCAGCCTCGCCTCCGTCAGTGAGCCCCAGGGCAGCTGTGGCTATATCGTAGCTCAACCCCACTAGTGTGTGAATGTGTGTGTGAATGGGTGAATGACTGTTGTAAAGTGCCTTGGGGGGTTCCAGGACTCTAGAAGGCGCTATATCAAATACAGGCCATCAACGTTGCAGAGCAAACAGTCAGTGGTAGAGTCATGGTGCTGTTAGCCAATCAGAGGAGAGATGTCCAAGGATTCCAAACACTGATGAAAAGTGTCCTGTTGCACTCACCTTCCACAGAAACATATTTTATCTTCAGGCAGGGGAGGATTCTGATGTAAATAAGTAGGAGTAAAGTCGACAACAGAATGCCCTGGGAGAGAAGGAATGGGGAGGGGCGTCGCTGGCTGCACAGTGTTTATCTGCAGCATTAGTTGGTTCAGATGAAGCGACAGACAGACGTCGAGGAGAACACAAATGCAGATCTACCAAAAAACAAAAAATAATTGTAGCCTTTCCTGTTTGGTTTGTTGTTTTCAGTTCCTCTCCTGTTGCTTGTCTGTCAAATCATCAACCTTCTTTCCTTTTCTCCTCCTCCCTCTGCACCACCCACAGCGTGTGATGAACTATGGCCTCCATCTATTAATTTAATCCGGTGTAGAAACCATCAGGGGAATTAACTGTTGTAGCACCATTTTCCTCAGCTCTTGGTAATCAATTTTTTTGGAAAAAACAAGGTTTTTTTTAAATTGATCAGTTTTGTTTAGTGGGTAATTTTGCCTGGAAACATTACCCTGACATCACGTGTTCTCTCCTGAACGTGGTTTTTGTGTCTTTGACCAAAGGTTTTGAGTTTTATCATGTTGAATCAGATTTTTTACCATCTGTCGCTCTTAAATGATAAATGACCAGAGGTGGAAAGAGTACTAAAATTTCCTACTTAAGTGCGAGTACAAGTACTTTGATAATTTTTTACTCAAGTACAAGTAAAAAGTATCGTAAATAAAATGTACTTAAAGTAAAAGTTACTTAGTTACATTTTTGTCAGCGTAACATCAGTACAAAACCACAACACCAGTTCACAACACGCTCATGTGTGCACGCACACACACGGATACACACACAGTTTGATGGAAGGATTTCTATCCAATCAGTGAGAACAGGACGTGCACATTGATTGGACGAGGTTTTTCTAAGATTGTATGTTTCAATTGTGATTAAAATTATTCTTTATTTTGGGGAAAAATGTTAATTTTTAGATGCCATCAGCATGTGAGGTATCTCAATGTTCTCATGACAAAACTCAAACATGAGACTGTGCTCTAACCTGTCACATAACAAGCTAAATGAAAGTCAAACATTTCAAATGGACTGTATGACAGCTGTTAACCTTGGCCCTGCCCTACTTTACCTCTACATTACAGTTCCTTTATCCATGTCCATCCTAGAGCTCCTCTCTGACCTTCATGCTTATTTAGAGCAGCTGATTTTTAAAGTTAGCAGAGTTCATCCTTGGTAGTGGGTTCACTCACTCATTTAAAGATATCGGCCAGAGGCAAAATTCGCTTGAACAGCATGTGTAAATGTGTATTAAAACCTCAGATGAAAAAGGTTTTTGGATTTTGATTGCTGGAATTCTAAGAAAATCTGATGTTTGTGACCGGCGAAGGAAAAACAGAAACTAACTTCCGGTCTAAGCCCTGGGCAGCTGGTGGCGTTTCACATGGAGCTCTGCTGAAACAGCTGTAGTAAACAACGCCTGACTCCGGTGTTTCTGCGTTAGCGTTATAGCAGAGAACATTGTGTCATCAGTCAGATGTAGCTTCTGAAGCCTCTACTAGTCCATCAGATTTGTTTTTTCTCTGGTATACGGCGACGAGAATGGATATTGGTTTACCGGAGAAGTTCAACCGAACTCCGACCCCGCCAGCTGGATATCACTACCAGAGGTGCAGACATGTTTTAGACCGTTTGACTCAGAAGACCTGCGACCCGATTTGGACATAGAGGAGGATTCTGTTCATCTTCAGAACCAAAATCGGTACAGTTTGTTTACTTTTCTTAAATATTTCATTTCTGTGCTCCACTGGGAGCTCTAAGCTGACGAGTTCTCAGCTGGTCTTAGCTCCATCATGTGTCCCAATATAGTTCAGTAATCTACAGTTTTACTGCTGTGTGTATTTATTGATATAACTCTGGAAAATATTTAACCGACAATTTACCAGAATAAATCTTCCTGATGCTGGAGTAACTCCTTAGCTCAACTCGTTGTTTGCACTAATCCAGGATGTCATGGAGGTTTTAATGTTGAAATATAGAGATCATCTTTTAGATTATATCTGTGTGTGTGTGTAAGTGTGTGTGTGCGTGTGTGTGTGTGTGTGTGTGTGTGTGTGTGTGTGTGTGTGTGTGTGTGTGTGTGTGTGTTACACACAGGATTGCATGTGACAGTGTTGTTTCATCAAATCCATGCATCCTAAATCTTGGCTGAAGTAATGGCTCAGGAAAATAACGTATATTTCATAAATAATGACGTCTCTACAGTATTTATGATAATATTTTATCTTATCTTTGGTCTGGGAGGTGTAACTTATCATGATACAAGCCTTTTAAAACATGTTAAAGTGTTACAAGAGGAGATAAATGCATGAATTTAAAGTTCGTTTGGAGACCAACCTTCACAGTTTGGAGGCTCATGCTGGTGAGGAGACACCATTAGTTCTAGTAACACTGGGCTCCCAAGTCTATTCTGACAGGATGGACGTTACGGGACCCTTAAGGATTCCAGTTGGATGATTGGAGGATTATTTAGGAGGATTGGAATGAACAAACTGATTTCAGTGGTGAAGGGTTAAAGGTATTGGCTCGACATTAATATTGTAGAAATGCAAAATAACTACACTTTACCATCTATATAAACATGTACTGGGTTCAGTTTTTTATTTTGTTAAGGACTTTTGTCATAAATCATTACAGAAAATCTAAATCCTCTCCTCCAGACAGTGAAGAACTGTGTTTCGCATACGTCACTCCAGCACGTGAAACAAGCTAGCTGCTGATGCTAGCATTGTGAATAACTGTAATTTGTTTACTTTCATGCTCCTAATTATTACATAAAATTGCATTTACGGCTGCAGCAAAAGGTCTGAGCCATTTGTCCGTGTCCTACACGCATTTTTACATATCAGGTCTGATCTAAAATAATAACCTACATCTATAAATCCATCTAGAACCGCACCGCTACTTCTGGACTCTAGACGAGTCCCGTTAGCATGACTGCAGCAACACTGCTAACCGTGTTAGCTCTGGTAAGGAAAGAACAAGTCCTTTGGGAAAGCTATGACACACACACACACACACACACACACACACACACACACAGCAGCAGCATGTTAGAATCATTTGAATGACTAATTTAACAACATTGAACTGCTTTTGTAATAATTTAATCTCTTATTCTGGAGTAAACTAAAGAAACAAGCTAAATCATCACATATCTGCTGCATCAAGAAGCATCTTCTTAGGCCCTGTCCACACGTAGCCGGGGATCTTTTGGTCTGTCATCCACATGAAAACAGAGTTTTTTCACACGAAAATGGATCTTTTTAAAAACTCCGGCCAAAGTGAAGATCTGCGTTTTCTCCGTTTTGGGTGTCTGTGTGTGGACAGACAAAACCAGAGTTTTAAGGTCCGCAACGTCACTTTCCGTGACAAAAAAATGCTGACATCACGAGTGCGACCTGTGTTTACACCAGCCGACATCATGGAAGCCCTCAGAGCTGCGCTCGCTTTATCAATTGTCCAAGCGCTTTTTGCTTGTTTGTTCTTGCAAGCGGAATTACTGGTCCTTGCGGAAGACCACAGACGAAGGACGAGGTTAAGAACGGGGGAAGTACTGTCGCCTACAGTTCTGGCATGTCCTTAACAACGTATTTATCCGGGTACGTGTGGATTTATTTATTTTTTTAAATGAGGTGGTGTGGATGCAAGTTTTTGGAGGGGGTGGCATTCAGACATCAATTCTGCTTGCTTCACAGCCAGACAGGACACGGTTAAAAAAAAGAAAGAAAAAAAGGCAGGAACCGCCCCCTCCTCCTTCGCTGCTCTTTCATTGGTTGAAAGTTTTCAATCGTTTTCTGCCTAAAAGGAAATATGCACCCACACATATGATACATCAATTAAACCTGCTTGGTCCCAGGAGTCTCTTATTAACGTGATATTTTGTTCTGCGTTACCATGGCAATGTGCTTAGCAACAACATTTAACAACATTTTAGACACAACTGTATCAACATACTTTAATATAGAAATGTTATTCAAAATTTTTATACAATGTTCACATATTTCAGTTTTTTGCTATTTAAGATGACTTCCCCCCATTCTTCACTCACTTTTTGTGCTTTATTTGCTTGTTGGTGCTTTTTACGTCTACATCTTTCAATACATTCAGCTCATTTTAACAGTATTGCTTAGTTTCAGCTTCAGTTCAGCTGTTCATCAGCTTCAGCTTACAGTTTCAGTTATCCAGCATTCAAACAGCATTTGTGCAATAAATGCAAATTTTTCTAGTTTGGGTTTAACATTACAGATGAATCCTCTGAAGTGAGTTTGTACATAAGTCTGACACTTTAGGGCCAGTCTGATCACCTGATATCTCTAAAAATAAATGTTGGTCTTTTCTAAAAAAAAAATAAAAAATAAAAAGCCAGTTAGGCAGTCAGAAGTTTTTGGTTGACATCTAATCAAAGCACAGCATTTTAGTAATGCATAACTGATAAAACCATCTAGAGTGGCAAAACGCCAGAAAAAGTAGTTCATGAAGTTCATCGAACAATTACTTAAAATTCATGGACTAAACTCAATTCTAATAAAACTTTTTTTAATCTCTCCAAATATTTTGCTACCCTTCATCATATTTCAGCGTATTGTCAATCAACACCTCCTCCTGAGTTAGGTGAACATGAGAGTAACTAGTACATTAAAAATAGAGAGCAACCTTGCTCCTCACTTCACCAACACTTTCCCCAATCCTTCCAAGGGGGGTTTGAACTGACAGTTGCAATTTGACAGAAATGTAGTTTGTGTATTAATGAGGCAGACATGACAGAAACCACTGAGTTGTGCGATATAGCACAGAGCCCTGAGGAATTGATACAAGCATGAAAGGTACATCTAGCTGTCTGCTCATTGCTAATAATCTGTTTTAACCGCCACTTTCTGCTTTGGATGAGAAATATGAAATACCTCCTGATAGGAGTATGCTTGACCTAAATACTGTTTAATTATAAACCCTCTAATTAAATCAGACTAAGTATTATGAACATTATATCTTCTTTGGTTGGAGGCGCAGGAGCATTAATATGTTGTGACAAACATAATTGAGTGACTAATGTGTATTTCGCAATAACTTTATGTTTTAATCGTGATGTTAGATTGTTCTGTTATTGTTTCATTCCATTTGTTTGTTCTGGTGGATTTTAATAGCACACACTATCCTAAAGACACATGTCCTTGCTTCCTGTGTTTGCTTTGTATTTTACTTCAGATAGATGATAGATTAATAGATGATAGATAGATAGATAGATAGATAGATAGATAGATAGATAGATAGATAGATAGATAGATAGATGATAGATAGATAGATAGATAGATAGATAGATAGATAGATAGATAGATAGATAGATAGATAGATAGATAGATAGATAGATGATAGTAAGATAGATGATAGATGATAGATAGATAGATGATAGATAGATAGATAGATGATAGATAGATGATAGATAGATGATAGATAGATGATAGATGATAGATAGATAGATAGATAGATAGATAGATAGATAGATAGATAGATAGATAGATAGATAGATAGATAGATAGATAGATAGATAGATAGATAGATAGATAGATAGATAGATAGATAGATAGAAACTTCCCTTCACAAATACTATGGAAGTGAGGACACACGAGTGACAAAAAGAGTGTCAGGTGGTTTGTGGAGCGGGGACAAAGGAGGAAAAGGACAAGTACTGCAAGCCTTGGACTATCTTGCATCCATTCATTACCTGGATATTCCAAGTACATCCTGGAATGTGAGTGGCACTACAACATTGTTTTGTGGTGTTTTCTACATGACATTACCAGTAACTCAGGCTAGGGTTACCAGTAGCTCGGGCTAGCATAAACAGTAGCTAAGAGTTAACAATAGCTATGGTAAGCATTAAAGTAGCTCAAGCTAGCATTAACAGTAGCTAAGAGTTAACAATAGCTAAGGTAAGACCATCATTTTAATTGTAGCAACCCTCCCCAATAGTGATATAGGTAAGGATTTCCATTTTGCAAGATCATCTTCCACTTTCTTTAAAAGTGGGATGTAGTTTAGTTTGGTTAGATCTGCCAGCTTGGGAGAGACATTAATTCCCAGGTATGTGATATTCCCTGACTCCAACTGTGTATTAAGCAAACTGACAAAAGAGAAATTAATTGGAAGAACTGTGGATTTTAACTAGTTTATAGAGTAATCAGAAACTCTTGAAAAAGAGTTTATCAGTTCTATTGAATGGGAGAGAGAGGATTGAGAATTCTGGAGAAAGAGTAAAACATCATCTGCATAAAGACTGATCTTATGTTATGTTTACTGGGAAACCTGGATGATGTCCCGATTGAAACATCTTTGGTTCACGTGGTTCTGACTGCCATATGCATCGCTAAGAAAACTATCCTCTTGAATTGGAAAAATAGAGAAACTCTCTGCATTAACCAGTATAGAAATCTTTTGTTAGATCATATTACACTTGATTTAGCCTCTGCTTCCACTTCAGATCTATCTCTCTGGTCTCCTTTGATCGGTTCCATGACATAGCGATGATGGGGGACCATTGATATTGTCCTGCGGGATGATGTGGGTGGGGGGGGGTGGAGGGTCTGAGTTTGGAGTATCCGGATGTTCCCTGGAGGTGGGTTCACTGGGGGTGTCTGGGACTGGGGGGGCCGTTGCCCCCCTCCGGAGGTGCTTGGGTTGCCTCGGGAGGTGGACTAATGGCGGTTGGGGGGGGTCCTACATTGATCAAAATGTCCAGTTTTTCATCCAGGAGCAGGGATCGAGTTATGGGGGGCTAGATATCTTTCAGGGAAAGATCCAGTTTCTGCCTATATTACAATATCCATGGAATCTCTGCACAATAATTGATTTGTGACTGAAAGCTTGTTGGAGACATCTATGTGCTAATTGCTCACTAATTTATACCTCTTTTTTTTCCTGCAGGCTGAAGCACAGCATCGGGCCACACAAATGGAGTCCTATTTTTCTGAGGAGGACTAAGTCAATCTGTCCTTTGATCTCTTTCATCCAAGCCACAGGGAGATGTGCAATGTATGGACAACAATCTGAACATGTTGACACACATGGGTGTTATTGTTATTTTCAGGCTAAATCTGCCCAATAAATCTGCTGTCAGACTGATGTAGTCCTCCACCAGCCTGCACCGGTCCAGGCTAGAGCCTTGCAGGTGAGTTATTTTTAACTATCTGTCTTTCTTTATCTTCTAGTTTTAAAGGGACATTATGGAAGTTTGACAGCCAAAACATGTATAGAAATAATAAATGTCTTCTTCTACGTTCTCCTGCAATGCCCTGGTCCTGTAGAATGAGCCCTGGCATTTTTACTGTGATTACCTGTTTTTCTGTAAAATCACAGAAAAAGAGAGATGCTCGGGTCGAGCAGGCTGAGTCATGCGCGTTCACGCTCAGGCATAGCTCGTAGAATTTGCTATCCGTAGCTCTAGCAGCAGAGAGAGAGGTAGTGTTCCTAACACCTAGTGACAAACCTAGCTACATTTCTAAAGACCCTTAGCTACTTTCTGTAGAACTTTCTTCTAGATATTTCCTGCAAATTAGCAACAAAATAGCCATTTTCACTCCGAACTGTTCTTTGTTTTGACGTTGTTTCAGCTGTCATCAAGGATATAAACGTTACAGATACTGTAAATGTTACTAGAGTGTAGCTCACCTTGTAAGATGTCTGACTCCCATGCAGAAGACCTGGGTTTGATTCTGGATGTGAACATAGTTCATTTAGAGTTTCTTTTTTACATTAATGGTATATTTTTTACAGTAAGATGCCCAAATTTTTATTTGAGAGTCACCGAACGGCATTGAATTCACAGATAAATCAGACTAAATCAACTTTCATTTTGGAACAATTTTTCAAGCAAGGGAAGGGAAAGATCTGAGCATGCAGGAGGACTGACCCATCATAAACCTTTGTCGGCTGTGCTGAAGAGAAAGGTACAGAGCCAAATTATTTAATTAATTAGCTGCGCGTTCTCCTGTCCTCTGTCCTCCGGGCCACACACACACACACACACGGGACTGTCTCAGCTGTTATTTTCGTTAAGGAGTGTGCACGTACAGCATGCGCGCCTCGTGCACGAGCCTACTATTGAAGCTGCCGTTACGCTTTTGGCCTGAGGGGGCAATCGCGAGCATAAAAATTCAAAAGTCTGTAAAGTCCCTTTAACATGTAATTATTTTAGCTTATTGTTACACGTGTGTTGCTGCTCTTAAAAACAACTATAAAAAACAACAGTAAATATATTTGCTTTTTCTTTATATTTCACATAGCCTCCCAGCAGCAGTGTGTCTGACACTGGGACCATGATGGGAATTCCACCCAGAGCAGCTTCTAAACTCCTGAACAGACCCAGGTGTGGTGGAGAGCTTCTGAGCAGCTTCCATCTGAGGCCCTGTCCACACGTAGCCGGGGATCTGCCAAAACGTAGATATTTTTCTACGTTTTGGCCTGTCATCCACACGAAAACGGAGGTTTTTTCACACGAAAAAGGATCTTTTTAAAAACTCCGGCCAAAGTGAAGATCTGTGTTTTCTCTGTTTTGGGTGTCTGCGTGTGGACAGACAAAACCGGAGTTTTAAGGTCCGCAACGTCACTTTCCGCGACTAAAAAATGCTGACATCACGTGTGCGACCTGTGTTTGCACTAGCCGACAGCATGGAAGCCCTCAGAGCTGCGCTCGCTTTATCAATTGTCCAAGCGCTTTCTGCTTGTTTGTTCTTGCAAGTGGAATTACTGCTCCTTGTGGAAGACCACAGATGAAGGACGAGGTTAAGAACGGGGGAAGTACTGCCACCTACAGGTCTGGCATGTTCGTAACAATGTATTTATCCGGGTACGTGTGGACAGAGTTTTTTTTTAAACGAGGTGGTGTGGATGCAGGTTTTTGGAGGGGCGGATATTCGTTTTTAAAAAAACCCGGCTACGTGTGGACTAGGCCTGAATGACAGTACAAGCTCTATGAACTGTTCCACGTAAAAACATTCTAAATAATATTGTACTCGGTATTTTGTTTTTTTCTCACTTCTCAGCCTTGCTGGTTACCAATGGAGAGGAGTAGCTTTCCAGACTCACTAACATCCCATTTAACCTCAGGGCCTCCTGATGTAACAGAAAGACCTGTAGCTCCATCCTCACTCCGCTCTCCAAATGTTTCTCATCTCTGGAAGCGACCTCCCACAACACTGATGTTATATATAATTTTGTTTTCAGGCCAATTGTGTCATGTTCCTGGGAATGTGTTTAACCCATGACATGAAGAATCATCACAAGACGGGGGGAAAAGTTCAAAACAATGATTTATTTAAGGAATCTAACAAAAGGTGTCCCTGGAATAAACCCAGAGTAGTTGGAGCCAGAGAGAGTCCAAGTTCTGCAGGTGGAGGAGGTCGAGGAGGGCAGGTGGAGTGACGGGGTGAGTCCAGGAGAGGGAGCCAGGCAGGGTGGCAGAGGAATAAGAGGAGAGGCGAACCGTGAAGTCCAGGAAGGTATGGTTCTTTCCAGGTGAGTAATCCAGTGAGGTTCTGCTTCTTGGATGGAGGATAATATCCAACAAACCCAGAGCGTCAGGGAAGATTGTCCAGTGATCCTGGAGAGAGGATACAAAACTTGAGTCCAAAAAATCCAACACAAGAGTCCAAGAATAATCCAAGAAATTCTCCCAGCCAATTATCTACTTAGAAAACCAAGCAACCTAGAACAGGTGGCCAAAATACTACCATGAGTAGTTAATCATCCAGCGCTGTGTAGTGGTTCCCTCTCTTCTTAAATAGAGCTCTGCTGCAGATGACCTGAGAAGCTGCATCTGCCGCTGATTGCTAATACCCTGCAGCTGGTGAGCTCCCTCTCCTGAAATGAAGAGCTCAAAGATGTTATAGAGATGAAGAGTGCTCACCCCACCACACAACAAAATGAACCCAAGAAATCTGCTGTCAGACTGATTGCTGCAGCTACAAATGGTCCAGACTAACATGAAGCCTTGCAGGTGTAGTAAAGGTGAATTGTTTTTAATCATATTTGATCTTCATTACAGCCTTTGAGTTTTAACATCTTCTATGTTTTTGTTTCATAGCTTATTGCTACACGTGTGTTGCTGCTGTGAGCTTGGAGCTAGATGACATCATGAAGGAAGCGACTGATTCTGGTCCTGTGACACTTGGTAACGTGTGAGCTGATTCACCTGGTAAACAACTTTTACATTAAATATTTTGTTTTTTGCTATCAAAAGTAAATTAACTAATAACCTGCATTATTGTAGGACACTCAGCAAAATATGGACTCTATATCATGCGGCAGGCACATGTTAATATTATATAAGAGCACATGAGGTGAGCAACACTACAGGTTATTATTATTATTATTATTATTATTATCGTCATTGTAGTACACTGTCCTGGATTTGTTTTCTTTCTGCATCTCATCACTAGCCTGGCTGATCACCACTGCGGGGCACCTGACACCTCCTGCCATCTGGTTGTGACAGCATGAGTGTGTCCTCACACACCTGTACCTATCAGCTCAAACCACATTGGGACCCCTTTTTTCCCAGGTGAAGAGCTAAAATTTATATCAGATTCTGCCAACGAAAAGGCTCTAAAACAATTCATTCGTAAATATTCTGCATATTTATTGCAAAATCTCTATTTTAAAGGGATTTTGTATTGTAAATGTAAAACAAATAGATATTATCATATCTTTTTATAATTTATAGAAGGAAAAAAGTGACATAATTGGAAGAGATGAAAAATGAGTCCTTTCCTGACACGCCTGGCCTCTTTTTACTGACGGCAGCATTGTAGCATATTAGTATATTTCCTTCAGTCTTTCTTCTGCAGCCACCAGCTACTTGTAGCTCCAAGGACAGTAAATAATTCAATTCAAGTTTATTTATAAAGCGCCAAATCACAACAAGAGTCATCTCAAAGCACTTCACATAGTAAACATTCCAACACAGGTCAGTTCATTAAGCCTATCAGTAAAAAGTTTCCTATATAAGGAACTCAGCAGGTTGCATCGAGTCACTGACTTGTGTCAGTGTCTTTACAGCTATCCTCATACTAAGCAAGCATTTAATGACAGTGGAGAGGAAAACTCCCTTTTAACAGGAAGAAACCTCCAGATTATCCTGGCTCAGTATAAGCAGCCATCCACCACGACTCACTGATAAATAAATAAGCAGGCTTGTTTCCACTATCCCAACTTCCAGACCATGAGTTCCTGCCTTGGGGCGTGTACTCAAACATTCCAGACCATGAGTACCTGCCAACTTTGATTTGACCAGAAATCAAAACATCCAGATGAATAAAACCAGTCCCCACGTCATCTTAGTTCAGTTCTCAACAGTTCTCAAGAGTTCACGGGAGTTCTCTGGAGCTCTCTGCAGTTCACCGCATTCTAACAGAAGTATCGGACCGGCCACCCGGACTTCCTTTTTAAGCAAAGAACCAACAAGCTGGATAAAATCTCTTGCATTTTACCAACCAAGTAATGGTTCCTTTCAGAATAAAAGCTGAACTCACTGACCCTCCGGGTCCATCTGACGCTGTCAACCAACTGTCGCTTTTTACCTGGAGACAATCCAAAGACTAGTCTGTCGTACTGCTGACGCCGTTTCATCGGCTCCGGTACCGAAAGGGGGGTCCGAGGACCTGGCATTCTGGATCTGTACGGAGGTCTCATCCTGAAGGGTATGTGTGGAGTGACAAAATGGCGTCTCATGTGTTTATGAAACTCCGATCATAGCTTAAGAGCAAAACATCACAACATCATTCAGACTTGCTTCTTCGGATACGAGAGTTCTGATGACAACATCACTCACACATACACCATTCATCTCACGTCTCATTACAACAGACCCATTCATCATTTAGAGTTTAGAGTTAGTCTTGTTAAAATTCTTTAAAAATTTTTAGAAATAAATCTTCTTAAACGTTTTAAAGGTTACTCTCTCTTCTCTTTTCTCTCAGTTAATACAAGTGTTACATAATCCCTGCAATAAAAAGTTCCAATCTTATGGTTAAAATAACCCAACAGTCCGTAAGATTGATTTCATATTTAATATGGAACCTTACGTCTTATGGTCCATTAATTAGATGTAAAATAACTCCTTTATACTGAACATCTGTGAAATGTGTGTGATCCTTTGGTGGCTTAAGGCCTAAGGGGTTTCTGTTTAAATCGGACTCTAGAAGGTACTTTTACATTGACAGCTTTATGACTTTTGCTACAAAAGTTGCCCTCAAAAGTCCCATTAGATGCTTTGTCACTTCTTTCATTGCCTACAAAGTTTCAGCCAACTATATTCAACAGGGTTTTTCATTTTTCTCTCATCCCCAACAGCCTTGAGGCTTTGTGCTCTTTCCAAATGCCATTCTACTTTATTAAGCTCTGAATGAGAAACACTGAAGCAGCCCATAAATGCACTGAAGAGGGACAATATTTTCAGCAACGTTATTGATGTGTCGTCTTATTATTCAGAAGGGGTGGACAGTACTTTAAGGGGAAGTAAAGCAAAGTTTTTGTTTAAAAAATCCAGAAGAGTCATTTACAGCTGCAGTTGTCAGGCCTAAAATTAATGCATTTATTACTGACTCAGACCAGATGCATCAAGCGGAATGAGTCACACGCCATAACAGTACAGTCAAATGTCTTGTTCAACCTCTTCATTTGTATTTTGCTTTCAGTCAGACGTTATTGTGATGTTCTAAAATGTCCTTGAGCCGTAGATCACCAGCCTGATTTGTCATTTATTTTCAGCCCAGTTCTTGTCCATCACACTTTTCAAAGACATGTTATGTTTAAGCATCTTCACCTTTGAATCACTGTAGAAAGAAACCACACGAACCCAATGAGCAAGAATTGCACCAACACATAACGGACAACTTGGGAATGTACCATAGGCACCCTGTCACAAAGTGAATTTATTTGCTACCATTCAGTTCACCAAGTCTACACAAAACTCTACGTCATCACATAAAATAGCGCTTTTGCACCAAGTTGGTGATTTCTCTGTTTCTGTGAGAAAAGTTCTCCCGTCTTGACGTGCTTATTCATCAACATTCACCGAGGTTATTCGGGTTTGTGGTGCTGCTCTTTGATGGATATCTTTTCAATCGTTTAAGTCACTCCTTTCAAAAATAACTTTTCTGTTTTAGACAGTGTTTTTATAAACATTTCTTTCATGTGTTTGGCTTTTAGATGTCCACTATGCTGATACAGCTTATGCCGTGATTCGGCACACATCCCAATGCAAATCAGTGAACTGGTGCACAAACCTCATGTTTATTATTTAAAACATTTAACTAAAGTATCTGTGGCTAAAGGTCTGAACACACCATTTAAAATGAGTTGTTTCTGTAAATTTGTTGTTAGACACAAAGTCAGCTCATCCTTTGAATTTAATATTGCTTGAATGATGCATGAGTCAGCATCAAGTGACTTAAGAGACAGCATAAACGTCAGATACAATGACAGGGGTGAAAATAGACCTTTTAAAAAAAAATAAACATTTCAGCCTTGTTGATATTCCACCGTGCGCGATAAACATTGGAGATACTGTGGGCAGAAGTCTGTCATGCCACCGCTCCAGCCAGGCCTGGTTTCCCCAGCAACCACAACCAGCTCATCATCTACCTGATTCAAACCACCTGTCTCACATTAACTCATCAGCTCCACCTGCAACCACCTCTATATAACATCAGGAAAAACACCAAGCCAGTGCCAGATTTTTAAAGCATTTGCTAGTAGATTCTCCAGCATTCTAAAACCCTGCCTCAAGTTCCTGACCTTGCTTCTGAACCTCGACCTTGCCACCTGCCTGCTCCCTGACTGGATTATCTCACAGTTTCTGATCTTCTGGACTCCTGACCTTGGATCTGTTACATGGACTCTGCCTCTGGATTTCCCCTCCTGACCAAGCCTTCTGCTTCTGCGCTTCCTACAGACTGGTAACACTCCCCTGTGTGTTCTCAAATAAAAACTTTAAAGTGTCTTACTGTGTCTGGTGCTTTCACGGGTCCTCCAGCCCTGGTTGTTACAGAAGTCTAGTCCAACTTCTGTAAACAATGAGCAGCATTAACGTGCTTTTGAAAGATAAGTGTGCGTTACAGAAAAATAAAACTTGTCATATTATGGGACACACACACCACACACCACACACACACACACACACACACACTTTAAGCTCCATCAGTGCAACCTGAAGGCAAATTACTAAAGCATAAACTCATTCAAGTGTCTTGAATGAGTCTAAGCTCAGTAATTTGTACATTTATAAGAAAATGTGCTCAAAGCTCGATCTTTTTCCTCTGTCATGTGTTCAACTCCAATAAAGCTGTTCTGAAGTTCTGTCAGAAACAAACCCATTCTCCACCCAGTGGTGGCTCCAGAGTGAATGGCGCCCTGGGCAAGGACCTCCTCTAGCCCCGATAAATACAGACAAGGCCCCCGTATTTAGAGCATTTAATGTTTAGTTACTGTTCATATTATTTCCTATCTCACTATGTGGTTCTTGTGCTTTTGTGCTATAAACTGCTCACTCGCACAGTTCAGCTTTTTTGCTTATTGTGTTCATTCTCACAGACAAAAATACAGTGGTGTGAACTATTTGCCCCCTTCCTGATTTCTTATTCTTTTGCATGTTTGTCACACAAAATGTTTCTGATCAAACACATTTAACCATTAGTCAAAGATAACACAAGTAAACACAAAAATGCAGTTTGGAAATGATGGTTTTTATTATTTAGGGAGAGAACAAACTCCAAACCTACATTGCCCTGTGTGAAAAAGTAATTGCCCCCTGAACCTAATAACTGGTTGGGCCTCCCTTAGCAGCAATTACTGCAATCAAGCGTTTGCGATAACTTGCTACGAGTCTTTTACAGCGCTCTGGAGGAATTTTGGCCCGCTCATCTTTGCAGAATTGTTGTAATTCAGCTTTATTTGAGGGTTTTCCAACATGAACCGCCTTTTTAAGGTCATGCCATAGCATCTCAATAGGATTCAGGTCAGGACTTTGACTAGGCCACTCCAAAGTCTTCATTTTGTTGTTCTTCAGCCATTCAGAGGTGGATTTGCTGGTGTGTTTTGGGTCATTGTCCTGCTGCAGCACCCAAGATGGCTTCAGCTTTAGTTGACCAACAGATGGCCGGACATTCTCCTTCAGGATGTTTTGGTAGACAGTAGAATTCATGGTTCCAGTTATCACAGCAAGCCTTCCAGTTCCTGAAGCAGCAAAACAACCCCAGACCATCACACTACCACCACCATATTTTACTGTTGTATGATGCTCTCTGTCTGAAATGCTGTGTTACTTCTACGCCAGATGCAACGGGACATTTGCCTTCCAAAAAGTTCAACTTTTGTCTCATCAGTCCACGAGGTATTTTCCCAAAAGTCTTGGCAATCATTGAGATGTTTCTTCGCTAAACTGAGACGAGCCCTAATGTTCCTTTTGCTTAACAGTGGTTTGCATCTTGGAAATCTGCCATGCAGGCCATTTTTGCCCAGTCTCTTTCTTGTGGTGGAGTCGTGAATACTGACCTTAACTGAGACAATCGAGGCCTGCAGTTCTTTAGAAGTTGTCCTGGGACCTTTTGTGACCTCTCGGATGAGTTGTCTCTGCGCTCTTGGGGTAATTTTGGTCGGCCGACCACTCCTGGGAAGGTTCACCACTGTTCCATGTTGTTGCCATTTGTGGATAATGGCTCTCACTGTGGTTCGCTGGAGTCCCAAAGCTTTAGAAACGGCTTTATAACCTTTACCAAACCGATAGATCTCAGTTACTTTTGTTCTCATTCTTGAATCTCTTTGGATCTTGGCATGATGTCTAGCTTTTGAGGTGCTTTTGGTCTACTTCTCTGTGTCAGGCAGCTCATATTTAAGTGATTTCTTGATTGAAACAGGTGTGGCAGAAATCAGGCTTGGGGGTGGCTACAGAAATTAAACTCAGGTGTGAAACACCACAGTTGGGTTCTTTTTTAACAAGAGGGGCAATCACTTTTTCACACAGGGCAATGTAGGTTTGGAGTTTGTTCTCTCCCTAAATAACAAAAACCATCATTTCAAAACTGCATTTTGTGTTTACTTGTGTTATCTTTGACTAACGGTTAAATGTGTTTGATGATCAGAAACATTTTGTGTGACAAACATGCAAAAGAATAAGAATTCAGGAAGGGGGCAAAGAGTTTTTCCACACCACTGTATGCAGCCAGACAAACCTTCCGACATATGTAAATATATAGTATGTATATATGTAACGAGCTGACTGGCTGATCCGTAAAAACACCCAACACAGAATGACAGTTAAACAAGTTTATTAAAAGGAGAGAGGCGAAGGCAATGTCAAGAGGCAGGAGGTCGTTACCGGGAGATCTGAAACAGAGAATAATCCACAAGGGAGATCCAGGAAGCGAAGTCGGGGACGGAGCAGAGTCGGAGCCAGAGGATCAGAAAGGCAGCGGTGCAGACAAGGTAATCCAAGAATCGGAGACGGAGGAGAGTCGGAGCCAACAGGATAATCCAATAATCAAGGTCAGGGACGGAGCAGAGTCGGGATCAGGAGACAAGGTAAGAGAATGCTGGAGTATCTACTAGGAGAACGTTCGATAATCTGGCAATGGCTGGGTGGCTGAGTGGATATTAAATAGCAGGAGGAGCAGGTGTGGTGAATAAGGTTGATGACGGAACAGGTGGAATGAATGGAGCTGATGAGGTGCGGCAGTGGTTGCTGTGGCAACAGGTCTTTGGCAGGAACAGGATCATGACAATATAGCTTAAATGAATGACCCGCACTTGTTTAGTGCCTCTCAGAGTAAGGACTCCAAAGCGCTTTACACTACAGTGTATCATTCATCCATTCACACACACACATTCACACACTGATGGTGGTGAGCTACAATGTAGCCACAGCTGCCCTGGGGCACACTGACAGAGGTGAGGCTGCCGAGCACAGGCGCCACCGGTCCCTCCGACCACCACCGGCAGGCAAGGTGGATTGAGTGTCTTGTCCAAGGACACAACAGCAGAATTCTCTGTCCGGAGATTTATGGTAAATCTCCTCAAAGTTACCAGTAATATATTTTCTTATTACACAATATAACCCCTATTCCACATCATGGATAAAGTTCACACAACTGAAGTATTTTATTGTACACAAAGTATACAAACAGCAAAGCACAGCTCAGAGTTCTCAAGGCCCAGCATGCTTATTCATAGAAAAGTATTTTCTCACAAATGGAACTCGCATGCCATGGACAAAGATTCTTACACTCATTTGTTCTTCAGACATCTAGCCACAAGTCATTAAGTTAAAAAATGTTTTCATTACTTTTGTCCTTTTGCTATGGACGAAATGTGGTTAAAAGAGATTTCACACAGTAACAAACACTGGTTGCATTTGATGTAACATAAAGATTACCGTATTTAGAGCCAACATTGTTGTTTCTCTCCTTACGAGATCATTTTTACGTGTCTAAATTAGACATCCACCATCTGAAACAGGCAGCAGATATTGCTACAAATGTTCCTATAGCACCAAATTAAACTGACAATGGATTGGTTTCAAGATTAGTGGGATTTAAATCAACAAACTGAATCATTACAAGGAAAAATACACCAAAATCTGATCATTTTTAGATTCGAACACACTTAAGTAAAACTACATGGCAAAGCACAGACTTCTAACTGCCAGTTTAAGCAAAAAAAAGGGAACAGAATCTGATCCTGCTTTTAAATCCAGCAGATACCTCTTACCTACTATCAGATCTCCAGCTTCGTGCTGAAAGACCGTTCGGACATGGCCAAAAGCCTAGAGATCAACCTCAAGTTTTACTGACAACAAAGTTAGAATTATTAAGATGTAAGCTTTGAATGACTCCAGAATGATATAAAGAATAATCAATCGAATGCAATGGCCGTCTTTCTCATTAAAAAATTCCAATCCTAACGTTTAATTGTCCTGCAAGTCCAGCAATGCCAGAACACTGAACCAGCCTTAGGATCAGAGTAACACCAGGATAGAGCTCGCTCAGAAAAGGCAGCACATATCTGCACCACAGTGCAGGGGAGGGGGGGGGTCTGAAGTTAATTAGGGCAGCAAAGAAGCCACTTCACAGCATAAAAACCCGCAGACATGGACTGATATTCTGCTGAAGTTCCAGGGATTGGACTTTAGTGTTCTGAGGGAAGGTAGTTTTCTCTGGTAACTGAACTTTCTAATTGTTTGGGGTATTCAGGAAAAGAGTGGTCTAAAGGCCAAGTTCACCCATTTTTTTCAGTACATTCCCAGTGGCCTCTAGAATAAATGAATGCCTTGAGTCGTTCTCGTTGGGGAAAAAAAGCTCTGGTGTTCATGTTTCAGGGAGTAGACGTTTGCTAGAATAGAAGGACACAGAAAACAGCAGGACTGATACTTGGACATCTCACCTCTGATTGGCTAACAGCAACATGACTCTACCACTGACTGACTAATCTGCAACGTCTTTTTTTATTTTTAGTGTTATAGAGTTACTAATGCTAACGATTAGCTTCTACTGCTACTAGCCGAGACATTCTCAGCTGTTTCCCTGACGCTAAACCAACAACAGTCTTCTCCTTCATGAGTCAAGATGAGTGAGTCCATGAATGTTAGTGACAGTGTGATGTAGATCTGTCAGGATTTCTAATCCCAGAGTTTCACCGTCTGTTTTCCATCAGACGCTAAAGCAGGAAAAAAGGGAAGAAACTATTTTCATGTTCAGCCTGTGAGACAAACTCAGAGTGACCATATTATGTATATTTAAAAAATAACTATTAAAAATTGGCTTCTCAGTGAACTTGTCTTTTAAAACAGCCATCACTGAACTGTTCAGTAATGTACCAAGTCTTTTACAGCATGAAAACGACTAAAATGAGAAGTTGGTTGCTCTGGAGGCAGAAAACTCATGAATTTGGGCCTACAAACAGGACTCTTCTCAGATCTTAAATTCAATACAAAATAAATCCACAAAAGGAAGGTGTACAAACAAAAACCCAGCCAATTCTCAAATGTCAAGCAGAACTTGGTCCAGACGTTGATCGTGCACATGTAGCATGTCAGGGTCTACTTCAGAAAAAGAACCAGCCCTGCAAATATCGACTTATCGTAACTGTCAATAAAAGTCATTTAAACTTCTGTAGAGCTTGTCAACATAGCTCAGTAAACCACATAAACATCTGACAAAAATCTAAAAATCACAGAAGCAGCAAACTTTTTTTTAAACCAGCACTTGTTTCAATCTCTAAAGTTTGGGCCATTACAGCAAGAGGAACCTGCTGTTAAAGCAACCTCTCACCCCCAAATTCCACTACCTCCGCTCCGCTCCGGTCCGCCCCCGCCTTCCGCAGCCGCTCGCTTCCGAACTCAATTTTTACTGGTACCCGCTTTACAACGGCTCCGCTCCGGTGCGGAGACCTGAGGGGGGCAAACAAGCATGCGCGGGATTTTCGAGATCTTGCGATACAGTCCGAGCAATAAACGCGGAAGTTAGATCCAAACACCCGTTGTGTGGGAGAAGCATCGACATGAACTGTTTAATCTGCCCATCATTTGTGTTGAGAGATCAGCAGTGTTTGGATCAACAAAGTGTGACTACTTTGATAGTAGAAACTGTATTTATGGCTTACTTTTGTGCATTTAAACTTCAGCCGCCATTGATAGTTGTTAAAAGTTGTTAAACCTGTGCATATGAAACAAAAAATGCCTTTTGTTTATCGATTTATTGTGAAAAACGGAAGTTGTGCCCGCTCCTTTTCCTGTTGGGCGGTTGTGAGTTCTGTCCATTTACTGCGGAGGTGCTCCGGCGTCCGGCGAAAATAGGATCGATTCTATTTTTGCCGGACGCCGGAACAGAGGGCGGCGCACGGCGCCGCACTGCCGAAGCACAGCCGCAGTAGTGGAATTGCTCTGATTGACTACAACGGGACCGATTTTGCTCCGGCGTTCGTGTCGGAGCGGAGCGGAGGTAGTGGAATTTGGGGGTCAGAGTCTCGTCAGGTCCGTTCACTGAGTCTGAGGTGTAGAGTCCAGTTTTTGCCTTCTGGTGACAGCTGTTTCCTTAGCTAGATCTCAATTTGTATTGCATCATTGTGGAATGGGCTTTGTCAAACGCACATATATACACACTTACACAGCAAAAAGCTACAAAAGAGCTGAAGAGACGTAGCTGTAGCCGACTTGAAGGTGGCAAAAGGTGTGTAAAGAAAACAAGCATCACACTTTTCCGGTATTGTGCCATGAACCAAACTCTTCCGAACCATTGCTATACAACAGCTCTGCTTACTGATACTGCAACATGTGCTGTGTTCTGAGCTCAGGTAGGCTGGAATCACACTTTCCCATTAATGTCACAGTAAGGAATCTCCCTGCCATCTTTGCTGATAAAGCTTCCAACCCTGGCAGAAAAAAATCTCTTCAAATCTTTGGTGTCATCTTCATTGAACACTTTGTCCTTATATTAATAAATAATGTAAGTATAACGGATGAATAATACATTAAGCCTATCATCCCAGGTTGATAAACGCCTCTGGCTCAATGCTAGATTGTCTATTTGTGAGGGTCAGTGAGCTGAAAGCTATTTGCAAAGCTGGGGGACTTTAACAGGGCAGCTCTAATGTTCTCATAAGCAGCACGGGCTGACCTCACTTAATGAGGATTAATGCTGAATCAGATTGGAGCTTGTGCCTGTCGAGACTCTCTTCTGCAAACCCACTCCCACCTGCTGGTAATTGATTGCACTCATTGAGAGTCCATGTCCCCATGCAACCTCTGAACATGCGTTAAAAGCCACGCTGGTGAAAAATACAATTGTGTTTTTGACAGGATGGGACAAAGAGAGGGAGACATGAATGGAGGCATGAGCAGGTCGGGCAAGTCCAGGAAAATGGAACCAGACAGAATATTGAACAGTGGCTCTGACATGGACCACTGCTTCTCCGACAAGGCAAAGCTTCTATGCCTAATGTTTGCAATAAAAAGGTCAAAAATAAATAACAGAAGGCATGGATGTTACTTACTGCAGCAGCTTTTTAAAGTGCAGATGAAAATTTAGCATTATACAGTTTTAAAAAGGTTTTATGGTCATTTTCTACACAAACAGCTGCAGCTGTCTCCCATGCAGCCTGGGACAATCCCAGTGTTATAATATTTCTGCTAGAACATTTGTGTGTTGTGAAATAAACAACAATGTAAAAGATTATTAAATAAAGTCCAAACATTGATGTGATATTTTTGAGATGGGATTTGGTTTGCCCATTGAACCACCTTAGAGGAGCTGGCTGTTACAACAGGACTAGACTAGTGAGCTGATAGGGTTAGGGTTATCCATAGTGAAATCCAAATGTCCTGATTTAAAGCTGCTTTACCAAATCTGCAGAACAAGCTAGATTTTAAACACAAACACCGATCTCTCACCACTCCCATCAGATATCATCCCTAGGCCACGTCCCAACGGTACAGGAACATGCATTGCCAGAGGGATCGAGGGGATGCTAAACACCAGTCGCTGTTTTCTAAGTCTAAGTTTTTCTTTTTGGGGCTCTTGTTTGTCCTAAAGTTGAAGTGGCAGCAGCCGGCTGTTTCTCCTTCTCTGATATAATTGAGTGGAGAACCTCTCACACCACTGGTGTTCTGGTGCTAAATACGTGTGTGTATTGAGTGGTGGACGCAGGTAAATATAGATGTACAGCGGTTCAGCGAGACCGACAACCAGGTAGTTCAGTCGTTGGTTTTGGACCGAGTCGTGTTATTGGCTGAATTTTTTAGACAAATGCAAGAGAAACACTTTTTTCTTTCTTTTCTCCACAATATACCTATAGATGTACTATGTTAGAACTGTAACGTGATGAAGGAGCCATTTCTACCCTCTAACAGCTGTTTCCTTCTGACACAGTCCCAGAGTGCATGAAGCAGCCTCAAGGTCATGCATTCGCTTCTAAACTGTTTACGTTCCAGCAATGAAGACAGAAGAGCGAAGAATGAACTCTTTTCTTTTAATTAATCAAAGAACTCTATTTTAATAAAGCCAATCCATCAAAGTGTTAGTCAATAATAACATGTGACCAACCTGTGAAATTAAAATATTAATTACTTTATTATGATCTTAGAAATGAAGTACTTTCACTTTAAGGATTCCAACAGGACTCATTTCACATAGTGTTAAAAAGACATGATACATTCTTTCACTGATCCAATCAGAATTTTACAGATCTGACGGAGGCGTGCTTCTGCAGGTGTTTGGTAATTTTCATTTGACAATAAACCATAACATCCGAGGTATAAAACTACGCCACGTCCGCTCTAACGCCAGTTCAAAGTGTTCCAGAGCAAGCGTCGGAGTGGCCAATCCGACCTTTAACTCTTCAACCGAAAGAACCACGACAAGCTGAAAATCCAGTCGCTATAACAACCAGAGGCAACAACAGCTCCTTTCAGAATAAAAGCTCCACCGACCCAGGCTGGGTCTGAACAGATGCCAATAAAAGTGTGCCGGAGGTAACTCAGGACGGGTCTGGTCAGAGCCGCGGCTTCTTCTACCAGCTCGGTTTCCAGAGAGGGTCTGATAGGGCCTCGGCATTCCTGATCTCCCGAGGACTTCCACAAGGCAGGTAGACGCGACTTGATGGTGTCTCATGCAGTTTCTGAAACTAATCCAAGCTTATTTCAAAACAACATCTTCAGTTCCCGTCAGAACTAATCGCTTCTTCGGATTTGCTGGTTTTGATTTACTCGACACGTCAACCATTCACCGCCTCATCCATTTTTAGTTACACTATACACTTAGTTCTGAAATCAGCCTAGTTTAATTGTTAGTAATTTTAAACTTGGCTCTCTCTATTCTGTGTCTCTGAGTGAATACATAACGGTTACATAATCTGTGATCCGATCTTCTGGTTTAAACAACCCTCAATCTGTAAGGTGGATTTCATATTTACTATGGAATCCCACGCCTTACGGCTCGTTAAATAAAATGTAAGAACCTCTTTCCCTTACAGAACGTTGTTTAGGGGCATGAAAAAAATGTATTAAGTTAGCTTGATTTGCCATTGTAGCTTAATGGGTTTTCTCTGAAATTCATCTTGTTTTGCGAAAAGTATAAAATTCATGTATTCTTTTTATTTGAAATTAAGAGTGGTGTCATGTATTCACAGTGTACTTTTGCCTATGGGTGGATTAACATGGCGTCGTTTTGATCCGTTTGAATTGCAACAGAGGCTCCAAAGTGCTTTACACTACATCATCATTCATCCATTCACACACAGATTCACACACAGATGATGATGAGCTACGATGTAGCCACAGCTGCCCTGGGGCACACTGACAGGCGCCACCGGTCCCTCCAACCACCACCAGCAGGCAAGGTGGGTTAAGTGTCTTGCCCAAGGACACAACAGCAGAATTCTCTGTCCAGAGCCGGGATCGAACCTGCAACCTTCCGATTACTGGACAACCCGCTCAACCTGTTGAGCTACTGCTGCCCCAATTCTACCTTTTGTTTAGCGAAAAACGGTTTGGAACAAAGCGTCTGCTTCTCCTTCAAGTCAAATCACCTGCATCTTAGAACACCTTGGTTATATTTCTATCAGAAACGAGTGGGACTGAAGACACGGCCATCTTTGTTTAGAACAGGAGCATCTTGGTACGTTACACTAGCCCCAGACTCTTTAGCAACTCAAATAGTTTTCAGCTGCCTGTTCTGTAGGTTTTACTACAGTTAGTCAGATAATGGTGAATTAATGTGATTTACCTGCAATGCCCATAAACAATCAGCTGATTGCACAATGTATTATCAACCTTTACATGACTGCTGTAGCACAGTTGTTGTCCAGTAAGTGTCAACATCACCACCACTAGAAAAATGCAGCACTTCAGGCGAATCCTGCAGTACGTACCCAACGCTTTTACCAAAATAACCACGTAATGTGAAATGGATAAACAGTGTCAGTAAAAATGCTGATAAATTAGGAGAGTGAGGCTAGCACCAACAGCTAGCATTTTTAAATCATGCCTGAAAACTCACTACTTCAACCTAGCTTATACCACATAATTATGAACCTCACTCACATCTGCACTGTTTAAAAATGGACTCCACAATTATCGACTTCCGTACTATTGAGGTTCTTTTTTAAAATGTTTTTCTAATTTTTTATTCACCCTGTGTCTTATTGATTTTTAGCTGTTATTTTTGGGAATTTTGTTGTATTTCCTTTTTATCTTTTATCTGTGTTCGACATGTTTGTATAACGCCAGTTTAATTAACCAACATTTTTAGTGTACAGCGCCTTGTTTGGTTGTAATGCCTTGTGAATGCGCTTTATAAATAAAATTGGATTGGATTGGATTTGATACAGCAGAAACACATTTTGGTTCTAGCGTTTGGATTACCCTAACCCTGTTCATCAGTCCTATAGGAGATCAAAGTTATTTCTCCTGATTATCAACCTTTTACTTTTTTACCCAAAACCACATTTCAAAATGGCAGACACGTCCATTTAACAGACTGCGGTCTAGTTTCTGCCACCAGTTGAGATAAGAAACCATCATTTGTTGTGACATAAAAAGTATTCCAATAATTTGGATTTCTTTTGGGAGCTTAATTGCTGTGACATTTTATGGGTTTTCTCTCTCCAGCCCCTCCAGCTGTTTGTTTCTAAATAATTTAGCTGAAGCACAAATCAACTCGATAACCACACCTTTCATTAGGCAAAAGTTTTCAGTGGAAAAGACCAACGTTTGTCATCCTGCCTCACAGGTTAAGGGACAATGTTTCGCCGGGTTTTCCCTTCATTCTCAGCAGAGATACTCCGTATCAACTACATCTGTAAACAGACCTTAATGACTGCTGTTTAGGAAACAGACTTTAAAAAAAAAGGAAATGAAAAAATACAACTGAATGTTGGTGTCACCGAGACGTAGAGTTGTAGACTGAAAATGGCTGAGCTGTCCACTGGAATGTTTTTAAGAATCAGTCATTCACTAGGAATAGGGAGGCGGGCTTGGTGGTTTAGTGACAGTGTTGAGGCTCGTCTCGATGGAGGCCGCTAGTCATACCGACCCCTTAGTCAAGCCCTCCATAGGAAGGGTGGTGGCGTTGTCGGTGGGCAGTGGGTCGTCCTGAGGAGGCGGGGGCGTTGTGGAGGCAGTGGGCAGGCTGGCGTAAGGCAGGTGGCAGTCCGTGTGCAGGAAGGGGGGGTAGTGCTGGCGGTAGCAGATGTAGGCGAACAGCAACCCGATCACTCCTCCAACAAAGGCGTCTGAAAAGTCACAGAAACACACATTTTAAGGAATGGCCATTTTTGGCCAATCCATGGAAGATAAATAACACCTACTCTCCTGGAATAAGCCTGGCTAATTAGGCATTGCTGTTTGTGCTGTAGTGTTTCAGTGAGCATTCATCATACTCGCCTCGTTTAGAGGTTGATAAAAGTAACATAGAAGGCAATAAATCTGTTCAGCCGAGCTTGTTTTCCCTCTGGGAAAGGCTAGCTCTGCTACTTTTAAGGGTTCTGCATCTCAGCTGCTCTTCTTTGAGATATGAAGCATTAGCAGAATGACTTTTAGCAATAAAATATTAGTAAAATAAAGTTATTAACGGGAGTTAGCTAAAAACCGTTTAGCATAATTTTATGGAAAGGTTCCTGGTTTGGTTTATGCACATTTCCAGAAAATTTCAGGTATCTGTTTGGGATCTGATTCAAAGTTGAGCTCAGATCTGCAGTTGTACCAGAATTCTCTTAGCCTAGAAATCTAGACGAGCCGTAGCAGAAGCAAAGTGATGTTCCTCTGCAGGTTGGTCTAGCCACGCCCCACTGTAGCCTCAGCAGGTCTACCTTTGGCCTGAGCAGTTTTGTGTCTTGCCAATCAGAGCTCTCTATCGGTTTAGTGGGCCAGTGACAGTGCTCTATTGGTTTGGTGGGTGGGATGTTACTGCAACTGAGCGGAGCAACAAAGATGGCGACGGCTCGTTTGAAGTGGCTTTGCACTGGTGAGACTTGGGCTTTTCTTTAAGTCAAGAGCAGATAGAGAAACTTTAGTCGTTTCTTTTAGAAAAATGATGTATTTGTGCAACAGTGGATGGTGGCCCTGTAGACTGACATCTGCAGCGGTGAGTACATCACGTTGTTCATTGTCCAAATCAGAGCTGATCAAAATTTACTCTTACAAAGGAAAACAACTTCATTTGATCATGGAAACACATCTCACCTGGACGTTCCCCTGATGCGTAAGCGGCTCTTAACATAATAAACCTTAGTGGCGCATCTCTTCCCTGCTGGAGCATTTCAGAAGCACATGGACGCTAATATTTTGGGATGCATCAGAGACATGCCATGTGCCCTGTGTTTATAACGGAAGCTATTCGCAGCGTATTGAGCTTTGCAGACGTTAGACAACGACTACACATCTTCTGCGTGAGGTGAAACTGGAGCACAACCTACCACTTATTCGGGTCAAATCAGCTAAACAGCCTACGTAAGATTAAATGGTCAAGATATGAAACTGAATTTCTGAGGAAATGTGTTAAACGTCCAAATATTGAAGCACAAAACCTTTCATAAAATTATAACAAAGGGATTCTGAACTAGCCAGAATTAAAGTCTGATTCCTATCCATTCCCCTCACCCGATATATAGAGTAAAATAGTCCTGCCAGATGGTAAAGTGGTAATTTTACAGTACTAAAATGCTATTCTGCTTTTGTTTACTTCTTTTGAAAGAAATGAAAAGCAATACAGAAATAGTTTCAACCTCCCTGAAGTGAATGAGCTCATGGTCTGAGTCCTGCCGCTTGAGTTTAACACACTAAGTGTCATGGTCTGCGTCTGCCCCTTCCTTCATGTGTCTCCTGGTGTTTCTCCATCCTCTCTTGGTGCTCCTTTTGTGTCTTCTAGCGCCCTCATGTGTCATGTCTGCATCTTCCTCATGTGTCTCCTGGTGTTCCCCATTTGCCCTCTAGGTTTCCCCCCTCAGACATCCCTTTCCCAAGTCCTGTGCTCTCTTGGCCCCCTCTTAGCTACGCCCCTGTTGTTTCTTTCTATGGTGTTTTCCTTTAGTGTCAGCTTCCCCCTAGTATATTAGTCATGGTTCATGCTTTCTGGTCTTTTGTTTTTCTCTTAGGTCATTTTCCTTTGTTACAGCCTTTCAGTATTTAGTGTGTTTTTCCCACCAGTGTTTTCTTCCTCCTCCCTGATTTAGTCATTGCCTTCACCTGGTCTTCCTCCCACACCCCACACACCTGCAGCTCATCTCCCTCTCATCCTCCCTGTGTATTTAATCCCTGTCTTGTCTCAGTGTCTTGTCGGTCCATTGTGTTTGTATTCTGTCAGCGTTTGTTCGTGCTCTTGGTGAGCTTTGTTTCTCCTGCTTTGGAGTTTTGGGCTTTAGGCTCGCTGCCTTTGGATTTATTTTGTTCATCCTTAAAAAAATAAAGGATTTTATTTTGCATCATCTCCAGCCTCCTGTCATCCTGGGTTGCTGCATATTTGGGTCCTAAACATCCCCAAAACGTGACACTAAGTTGATTTGATACATTACATTAGTGTCTCTATCAGCATCTCCAAAATACAAAGTGATGGTATTAATACTAATATTCATCAAGCATTCTGTAGCAGTTGGGCTAAAAGGAGCTCCCAGCTTGTGTTTACACTAGGAGCAGATTTGGCACCCTCAAATTTAATGGCCTGTGCTACTGCCGCTTATTTACTGTCTGCAGAAAAGAGTCGAGAGACAAAACAAGACCCAAAGATTCAACAAATGAAGGACTTCTCAGTAACTATAGCGAGTGTGTTGCTTTGGGTGCAAATAAAGACAGGTTGTGATGATAGAAGTTGTTGGTTTTGTTGCCAGGAGCATATGGCTTTCTCAAACTAATTGATACCACACGACAGAGCCGTCATCAAATCATCACACACTGCACACACGTGCAGTTTGTTCACCCCGTCAGCACAGATCTCATTCCAATCTTTAGAGGAGACGTAAAAGAACTCAAATTTGGAATGTTGGAATCCTTAGTAGATATTTTTAGGCTCACGTTCGTTTGATTTATCTTCTCAAAGATTAAACCTGAAAGTGTCAGAAAAGTGTAAAAAATACAACCATGTTAGAAAAAAAAAATGTCAGTCAAAAACCTAAACGGCTGTTTGACTATTGATTCCACTGGTTTTGAAATAAACACCTTCAAGGCAATATTTCTGATTGATGCAGCTGAAGCCGCATCAATCCGTCTGAGCACACCTTGCCAGTGGTGTTTGTAGTCGCATGTTCGTGACAACGCAATCATCATGGCGCTGTAAAGAGGCAGCACCATGGCACAGAGGCGCCAGCTGCGACCTCGACCCTGATCTGTAAAGCACTGAAGCTTTCCTGCCAGGTAGAAGGAGGTGAAACCAAGTCCGGAGAAGGCAACTGATGGGCAGAAAAAGAGAAAATGAAGTCAATCAACACAGATCAGCATCTAGAGAGTACACAAAAGCAGTTTAAGAGGTGGAAGTTTTCAGCCAATGATCCCATCTCAGGTTATTTCTGTAAACATTGGGATGATAACCAAAACCTTTAGAGAAATCTTATCTAGAAAGGTGATATTTTGCACAGTGTTATCCATTTCTGGGTGATGTTACAGCAAAAAATTGCAGTGTAACATGCAGATGACCTTGGAGCATTTTCTAACAAACATAACTGTAAGATTTCTTAATTTTGCAAACTAGACAAAGCTCATCTAATCTAAAACCCATCCTGTCTGGAGGTTTAGGTTGTTGCTGGACCCGAGTGATGATGACTCTAGGAGGCAGGCAGGAAATCTCAAAAAGCCTTCAGTAACTACAAATCAAGAGTGGTCAGGAGAACAGGAGGTTCTGACAAGTGGTGCAGTCACTTTTCTACTGAGGGAGGGGATCACAAACGAGGAACCGAGTGCTGATAAAAAGGTGTGCATAATCATCGACTGGAGAGCAGACGGATGCACCTAAAAGAGCACAGAGAGACAAGACGGATGACTAAACAAACGAAGAACAGACAAACAAATCGTCCTCAGTCCAAACACTTCACATTCAACTTTATTTATACAGCACCTTCACATGGCCCAAGGGCCAACCAAAGCACTGTACACCATCGTAGAGGCAAATTTACACATAAATGCATAAAAAGTACACAGAATATAAAAATGATCAAACCCAATTAAAACATTAAACATCAAGCCCAGTGTCCACAGTTCAAACAAGTTGGGACCAAGAAACAAACAGCAGCCACCCACTAGTCCATCGTGACTAAAAGCCACCAAGTGTGTTTTTTTGAGTCTATGCGTGGGCATGGTCATCAGTCCCTACTCAGCTGACCGAAGGGGGCGAGATAAGGAGTACGAGTGAATCGGATCTGACAAATAACGAGGAGCCGTCCCATTTAAGGACCTAAAACGAACAGGAGTCTTCAACACATAATAAACTTTATTTACAACTATTGTCACTTATGGTAAAATGTAGTAGTCACTGTTAGTTATATTTTAACATATTGATTTCAGTCTGACAAGTACAATAATCAATATTTATTTCCATCTAGGTGCTGTTTGTTTTCAAACAGGTTTAGTCATGCTGCAACTGCTTGGTCATGTGACACTGATAGTAAGCTTCAGTGTATGTGTGTGTGTGTGTGTTTATATACACTATTTCATTACTATAATATCTAGGAATGCACCTTTTCCAAAATGTCTTTAACCGGTTCTTGACGACCCTTAACCATTGATCAAAACCAAGAACTTTTTGATAACGGCGCTTGTGCACTCTCTAGTGGCACAAAATATAAACGTAAGCACAGCAGAAGGGCTGGAAGCAGTTAACCGAGCAAAACCACTTTACTTGGTTACAACAATAATGGCAATTAACCGGTTGCCTTTGTACATCTCTAATAATATCAGTTATCGGCCATAACAGCAATATAAATATAAATATCAGATATCGATATCAGACCAGAATGGTGCATCCCTAAATATTAGTAATTAATATTAGTTTTTAAGGCCCTGCAGGTCAGTATGCCAAGGTCAAGGTGCAAAGCTAGGGCTGATTGGGTCTTTTCGGGTATGGTCGCGACATTATGGAATGCTTCGTTCTGCCTTTCTTGTTTTTACTTATCAATGTTTGATCTTCTGATGATGATGATTTTTCCTTCAAATTCTTTGATTTATGGAAACATGTTATAGACCCCCAACTCTGCTCCTTAACCCATCGTAGGATCCTGACTACTGTTTTAGGAACCATCGCTTTAGATCCCACTAGCTAGCAGTTCCACAAAGGTGAAGCGATTCATTTCTTAAGTCACCACAGAAACAGAAAGCAGATGCGGATGGGGTTTTAGTGCAAGATGATGTCAAGATGGGTGAAAACTCAACAAAATCTGACGTTCATCAACAGCTTTAGGCTTGGTTTATGCTTGACACATTTACTTTCCGCTTGGTGATGCGGCTCGCGGATGGAACGCACTTCTCAACTTGCAGCGTTTATAGTTCGTGCGGCTTGTCTCTGTGGTGAGCCAATATTCTCCCAAACTGTAGGGGGCAGCATGGAGCTCTACGGCATGCATCCAACACTACACCATAGTAGAAGTAAATATTACTGTTGTTTACAACATGGCATTCCAGCAATTTTAATAGCGTCCTCGTCTTTTCCGACAGTGCGAGCTATTTCTCTCCAAGAATTATTAACAACATGTTGATCACGGCGATCTCTGAGAGCTGAATCATACAAATGTCTGTATTTACAAACCTCTGCCATACTAGTTCTTGCCGGTCCGCCATGTTTTTCCGTGTTCGACCGTCCACGTGGTTAGAAAATTTCCTAGATGCGCCGTGCGGAAAGTTTGGGCCGTGCGGAGGCGCGGTGGAGGGGCTTGGTTGTTAAAATGACGCAACTTTTCCACGCGGAGCAGAGCGAACCTCGCGGAAGCGTCAGGCGTAAACCAACCTTTAAGCTCCACTCAGCTTTCACGCTGTAGCACAAACAAAACGAGCCATGCCGCTGATTGGTTCTCTTAGCAACATCCAGTGTGAAAGAAGCATTGGTGGTCTAATTGTGTGAGGGAAGGACTGAGTCATGGACCCACTTGTGATTCTGAGAAAAAGGCCATGAGTTTACTGCTGCAGCAGGTCAAGCAGCTCTCGACAGCTGCCCATTTGTCACTCAGCCACTTGCTCGCTAAACAACACCTCGAGCCAAGTGTGCTGCCTGAAGATCAGAGGACGGCTGGTGAGAACGGAAAGTATAGACAAAAAGCCCAGCTGTCTCCGTTACTGTCCTGCTGACAAACAGCTGAATATGGCAGGCATGATCTCTTTGGCTATTTCCACCAGTATATTAGACAGCAGGGGGCTTTAGTTTGTTTTTAAAATTCAGCCCATGAATATATTCAAGCCTGCTCCAGTTTTCATTTCAAATTTTCATTTATTTTTAACAGTAAAATGAGCTGCTATAGTGAGCTACTTTTGGCAGAAAAAGACATTAATCTAGCTGTTGATATGAAACCATTTTCTTCTGGGGGGGTTTTCTACAGCCAGTCTAAATGTCCTGCTGTTGTGAGTAAAATGAGGGAAATAAGTTGGCAGACATTTTTGTGACATAATCTTTGCCAAATGGTTTGGATCCTAAAAAAATGCAAAGACGGCCCAAAAACCAAATGCATGATTTAAAAATAAATAAACAGGGGATGGTGTTTTGGTAAAGACTACATAGTCAGCTTAAGTGTTAGCCCAAACTGTACACCTGCCAAAATCACAACTGAGTGTAAAGTTTTGTATTCCAGTCAGCCAAGCGTCAGGTCGCCTTGAGGAGTAGAGTTATCGCTGTAAGGGATCTAGATGCAAGAAGAAGTAAAAAGCATTGGAAGTTTTTTTCTTCTTCATTAAACTCATGCTGAAATAAAATCAACTCAGTTCTTGCAAATAATTCATATTAGCATTTTTGAGTTAACGGAGGGAAAAATCCAGGCTCTCCAATCTCTGGGTCTAAGGTCACTGAGGTGGTCAAAAAACACCTCGGTGGCAAGGCTCCAGGGGAGGATGAGATCCACCCAGAGTTCCCTAGGGATCAGGATGTTTTAGGGCTGTGCTTGCTGACATGGCTTTGCTATATTGCATGAACATTGGGAGAAGTTCCACTGGATTGGCACTGGATTCCCACTATTTAAAAAAAGGTGCGTTTCCAAAGGTGTGAAGCAGCTGCACCACATTGAGAGGTGGCTCTGGTATCTGGTCAGGATTCCTCCTGGACACCTCCCATGTGAGGTTTTCCGGGCACGTCCGACTGGAGGAGACCCAAGGGAAACCCAGGACACACTGGAGGGACTGTCTCTTGGCTTGCCAGGGAATGCCTTAGGATTCCCCTGGAAGAGCTGGACCAAGTAGCAGGGCAGCAGGACGTCTGGGCCTTTCTGCTTGGTCTACTGCCCCCCCGAACCTGACTCTGGATAAGCGGCTGAAAATGGATGGACGCACGTTCCAACTACAGGAGGTCACACCCCTGAGCCTAAAGTCTATTCAGGAATTCTGGACAGAAGGGTCCATTGGATAGTCGACCCTCAGATTCAGGAGGAGCAATGCAGTTTTTGTCCTGGCCGTGGAACACTTGACCAGCTCTATACACAGGGGGATCCTGGAGGGTGTGTGGGGTTGATCGAACAAATCTACCAGTGTTTTGTTGATTTGGAGAAGTTGTTCGACCGTGTCCCTCAGGGTGCCCTGTGATTACGCTCCGAGGAAACTCTTAGCCAATCCTTCAGTCTTTTGTTCCCTGAGTTTGAGATAGTCTTCTGGCCCAGGGCTTCTACTTGATGGACAGGACATTCGTTGTAAAACTGTTCTTTGATGGTTGGAAGGAGTCCCTCAGGGAAGATGTTTTGGTACCATCTTATATTGGCGCTGCTCCGATCATAAATCCATGCTTTCAAAAATGTACGATTGTCTTGGTCCAATATCGAAGATAAAGAATTGTGTCGCCTGTTGGTTGTGACGTGCAGCCAACCAGAAAGCGAGGTGATGGGAGCACACTGCACACTCCTCCTCTGTCATATTTGTTTACTCCTAACATTTCCCATCTGACTGAGGAGTATTTTTTGAAAACTTTTGGAAATGTAACTCATATTCCTCCCACACCATTCTCCAGGGGAAAAAAATTCATAAACACACATACAGGTTAAATTGGAAAAGGAAAATATGTTGCAAAAGTCAGTTTATTTCCCATTTAAGGCTCAGGAACCCCTTGCAGGTGTTCTGGATTCGTCAGCTGATTAGAGTGTTGAGAATATTGAACCTTTTCCCAATATTCTGGTTGTCTGAGATTTAGAATGTGGGGTTTTAATCAGCTGTAAGCCATAATCATCACAGTTATAACGTATAAAGGCTGACACATCTGGCTTCGCAGGCAGTG